TATAGAATAGTAGTTACTATCCTAGTGTCTCATTTGTATTTACTTAGTTTACATGTTTTAATAATTGTAAAGCGCTTAGAGCTTTATGATAAGCGCTATATAAAAATGCCTAAATAAATAAATAAATATCAAAATAATGTCTTAATATTATAAATTTCAAACAATAGAAAAATAAAATTATTCAACACTAATACACATGATTTTTTACCTTCATTTTAAATTCAATAGAGAACATAGTGAGCACATAATATAGTCAACAAAATATTGTATTTTATCCTAGCATGTAGCAGACATCAAATTATTTAGTTCGAAATGTCTACTCCTAAAAAGTGAGTTTTTAAAATGTCAAAACAATTGGTGAGCTATTATGTGCAAAATGTTACACATCTTTGTGCTATAAAACAGCAGTAAATATGACATTGGCAAAAGACAACCAGACTAGACGACTGCTGGATGTCAGTTGAGCGTTGTCTGATTTAATGAAAATGTTCAAGCTCATTCTGGCCTTGTCGTGTGTCGTCATCTTCTGTGGTAAGTTTTAAGTTAGTTTGATGTAAGACTACATGAGTGAAAGGTGATGGTAAAGTGAAAACAATATTTAGAATGTCATTGGGAATAGGCTTTTAAAAAAAACAAAACAAAACAAGCCACTTTGTTACACTTTGGTAAAATTTTATTAACATCATGCACTTAGATTACAATATATGATATGCCAGTAGGTTGTAAATTCTGAGGTATCAGAAAGATGTCTGGCCGCTCATTTTTAAGTACACAATATACACATTCAAATACGCCACTGACAAAGTGAAACAGCCGTATCAAACACAAACAAACTGTTCTGTCTTTTCCTTTACGATTCGTAGCTATATTATGTATGTCTTTTGGTACAGCTAAAACTGAATGCACAACAAGACCATTGCTTTTACATCACCCGTTCAAAGCCAAAGTTCAGTACTCTCCTATATAGCAGTTAAGTGAAGATCATAACAAAACATTATGTGACATTCAACAGCTTTCACGATAGACGTCTGAAGAGCGTTCAGAGCATAACTGATACACATGATATAAAACTGATCAAAATGTGTAGTTTGTTTTCCACACTTAGGAAGAGGTGCCACTGTTGGCTGAATGCGCAATGCATAGACCATGGACACATGTTGTTTCCTTTACTTGCTGCCCGAAGAGAGGATAAAGATCCAAAGACGGCACATAATAAATGTGTCATATTCAGTTCAATTACTGTATTATTAATTGGACACCTCGAAAATTATTATTAGTTACCTTTAGTTTGAGAGTTCGCGACTGTTACGCCACACTATTTTCTTTTCCAGAATGCAATATCGTAAGAAGAGATTACACCTGTGCTCAGTTGGAGGAATGCGTCAAGCCTACTGGATTGTTAATTTTCTTTTTTAGGGAAAGAGATTACGAACAATTGTGCCAGTGAGTGAAAGAAAGACCTCTAAATTCTTTTATGATTCAGTACAATTTACCGCTTTTCACTAAATTTTTTAAAATAGTTACTACATGATTTTTTTTTGGTTGTTATTGTATTAAATGCGTGCGTGTCTGGTAATCTAGTTAATAATAACATATTTTTAATAGATAAATATCAGTCATGTGAGTTAGAAAGCTGCATACGTTCTTCACCGATTTTCTAAATAGCGGTGCTAAAGAGAGTCAAATCCTGTAAAAGTTTTTAAAAAATAGTTTGCGTTTTATAATAGTACAAACCTTATTCACTTCAAATTATCAGGATATTTATGAAATTGATATAACCAAAATAATGTCATTTAAAGTGAATATAGCGCAATTTTGTAGATAACATTGGCCGGGTCTGTTCTACCCTCGTTCTCTAACTACTTTATGTGGATGGTTACCTCGTTCACTCTCACTCTCTCGTACTGCAACAATCAGGTAATAACACTTGGATGGTTAGCCTTTCACTTCAAAGATCTGCTATACTTTTCACACTCAAAACTTTAGAACTCTGCTCTGACTGAGTCGAGTTGTCTCTCTCCTTCGAAACCATATTCTCAAGTCTTCCTTCTATTATACTCGTTTCAAGCGACGTTCTCGGCCGTCCTCCCTCAATAGTTACATCTCCTCTGAATGGCCGAGTGTCCCAAAACCTCTAGCTTACATCTAGACACGATCATACGAAAAACTCCCCACGGTTATAGGATTGCTACGTTAATAGAGATTAAATTCTCCCAAACTAGATCCTTTACACCAGGACGTCTATTCCATGTCGCTACCCTCTTATTAACACCGATCAAGTTTTGCTTGCTCTACCACGTTACTTATTGAACTAACATTACCCAGGGTCTGCAGAGACATTCCTCATTTAACAGTAAACTACAAAGTCAGTAATAAAACTTATTCATGATATCCATAGTCTTTTTTTTTTTGATGTACCTTCTGTTGGCTAGGTTCCCAGGCTATGTCTTTCCCGTCCTCACATAAAGCATCCTTAAATTCAAAAATCAACTCCTAACTCGCCTATTGTAACGTTATCCGGTCCCTGCCATTTTCTTTCACTCGTACATTCCTCGTCATTTGTGACAAAATGTAAAAACTGTGCTTGCAGCATTCGTTAGTTAACTTGATACGCGTGACAGACAGTTTGGTGCATTTTGGTAATTAGTCAGCCATCGTACTATGGGACTCTAACCCACGTCCCACCCAGACTAAACTATCTAATTAGTCAGTCATCGTACTATGGGACTCTAACCACCGTACCACCCAGACTGAACTATCTAGTTAGTCAGTCATCGTACTATGGGACTCTAGCCTACATACCACCCAAGCTGACGTCTAATTAGTCAGCCATCGTACCATGGGACTCTAACCCACGTACCACCCAGGCTGAACTATCTAATTAGTCAGCCATCGTACTATGGGACTCTAGCCTACATACCACCCAAGCTGACGTCTAATTAGTCAGCCATCGTACCATGGGACTCTAACCCACGTACCACCCAGGCTGAACTATCTAATTAGTCAGCCATCGTACTATGGGACTCTAGCCTACATACCACCCAAGCTGACGTCTAATTAGTCAGTCATCGTACTATGGGTCTATAACCCATGTACCACCCAGGCTGAACTATCTAATTAGTCAGTCATCGTACAATAGGTGTCCCACCCATGTAACACTCAAACTAAACTTGCAACAACATTCTAACAATGCAGAGCTCTTATAAAGGTTGAAAGATAACAAAACAAAACGAAACAGAAAGTTATCTGTAGCTTATTCTCTCATTGTCGCTTTCCAGGGAGGTGGCTACATTTAAAAATTGCACTGATGACTTCAGGCCCCTATGCAATGATGACACAGTTAATGAAGAGGTTGACAGTGCATTGGTGGGTGGCGAACTCATGTGTTCAGCTGAAGGAAGTCAAGGTTTGACATGAGAGTCCTATTTTTTTTAAAATATTAAATAGTTGAGCAAACTCTTGAAAACTTTCTCTTAAATAGTCTCGTAAAACTTTTCAAAGGATTTTCAAATAATAATACTCATGCTATTAGCTTTACACTAGTACAACAATCTCACGTTCATATGGAATAGAATCAAACAGTTTTGTTCTTAATGGTTCAAGTGTTTTGTCATTTACAGTAATCAGTGCTGCTGCTCAGTCAGATTGTATCACCAACGCCACTAAGAAATTGGAGATGGCCACAACAATTAGAAATTGTATAACTTCCGCTGTTATCAATGCGTTTATTACTGGAGCGCTCCCCGAGGAAGGTTACTTTTGCGGGTAAGAACACATACTGTGTTATACAAAACTACAACAATTATAGCACGCCATTTTTAATATAAAAACATCCTTGAATATAACACAATATTTATACTAGAATGAGCTTGGATATCCAATTTAGCACCAAAGAAACAAATTAATTTAAATTCTTTCGAATTCTGATAAAAACAAACTATGATATTGATTTTCTATTATTTTCATTTTGCCGAGTTCATCACAAGAGACGCCTCACAAGAAAGGAAATAATTTCTTTTTCGAAAATATAACATAAATTTCAAATCTTAAATTTTTTTTTTAAATTTAAGATTATGTTTTCATAACTTTTTTAGAGATAATATGTAGCACAAGGGCAGGAAAAGGGGTAGGGTAGGCAGAAGATTTAACAACTTAAAAACAGAAGACGTCTAAAGTATTTCTCTAGCGAGAAGTCAGCCGTCAATAAACTCCTGCAGTGACTATAATGTTATAAATAGTAATCATTTAGAAAATGAGCAAGGTAAGAGTATTAAATAACGAATAAAAATACTTCTCATAACTTCATGAAGTTAGAAAAGTAGACTTCATTACATAGTTACTTCTTTTTTTAAAAAACGAATTCTGAAGAATTTTTGCAATAGTAAGTAGAAATTATCGCAAAGTGGTTATAAATTGTTATCCAGATAACATTCGGTCACATATTATAGTTTATAATATAAAACTACAATTAATATGGCAAACAATTCATAACATAAAACATCATTGAAAAAAAAAACATACAATTTATACTATGAAAACTTTCTTTAAAAAAGCACATGTTTAACTATCTAAAACTTCCTTGCATATAACATTCAATTTATGGACATTAAATTGCATTTACTAGACATAATGATTTATCCTTTTAAGCACTAATTAATTGAATTCATGATTTATAATATAAATTAGCAATGACTATAACAAATACTATATAACATAAAACTAGCTTGAATATATCAAACAAATTATCATGCAAAAGTGCCTTAGCTATGCATATATATCCATCCCCTTTTAAATTAATATATATTAGAACATAGAAAAAAAATTTGTATTGATTTTTGTTTTTAATTTTAAAATCTAAATAGCTTGAATGAGTTTAACATTTATTAATGAAAAGACTATTTTAAGTACTTGTGGTGCATATTCAGCCATCTCCCAAAAAGACATTTCTTGATGCTACATGTATATACTAATTTTATTATACAAAAGAGTATAACGTTCTTCAAATTTACTCAGCTTCTTTGAGCAAGGTTTGACCTGCGCTACAAATTACATCAACGAAAACTGTGGTGCAATCTTTGGCGCTTTCGTTCGTGAATATTACCTAAGGACAATTTTGCCGTCGTACAATTGTGAGCTGGTAGCGAGACATGTCCGTAAGTTAGCCAGAATTTGTAAGACACGAATCAAAGTTAAAGGGTATTCGTGAGACACGTGAAGACCTCAATGTAAAAACCATACATGTCACCAAATTTAATTTTTGAATTATATATCTTAACCAATTCACCCTATAAAACACGGTATCTAATTTAAGGGTATTTGCAAAGCATGTATCTAAGTTAAAGGGTATATGTAAAACATGTATGTAAATTAACGAGTTTTTGTAATGCATTTTTTTGTAAGTTAATTTTTTATAACTTAAAATAACAATTGTCTAGACAATGTATCCCACAGATAAATTTTATTTGTTTTTAAAATTCCTAAAAGACAATTTCCCAATAAACTAATTAGGAAGCGTTGGAAATTGTTCAGAGTGATATAAATTAAAAAGCATACTAAAATAACATCATTAAAAAGAATCAGTTTTTTTTTAAACATATTAACGCCAGGACAGCAACAATCCTGCCATTTATATCAATTTAAGTAAACCTTTAAAAGTCACAGAATGTGTTATTAAAGTCAACGTTAGTATTATATTAAAGATCTGTGAAATAGACCCTTTATTGTTAGAGATTAAGTTATTTCCTTTAAAAATTAAAAAAAAAAAACAACATCTTCTAAAAATTTAAATTCAAGTATGTTTCAAAATTCACCAGTTGACAACTGTACTCAATAATACCAGGGAAGGTTTTTTCAAAGGGGAGGGGGGCAAAACCAAAACTTATTCCGCTTGTTAATTTGTGTATTACTCGAGCAATATCAGTACATAGTAATTTAAATAAAGCCTACACATTCCACCATGCCCTACCCAAATGATGTCACTTTACCAGGCTGATACCTTTTAAGTATGACGATGCATTTCTTTCATTATTCCATCAAACTTTCCTGGCAGTGGTTAGCCCGAAGATGAGATATCACGAGTGAAACATTCATGAGAATAAGAAATTTTTTTAAAAAATTTCAGAGCTAATTTAGTAGCATCTATTTTCTGTCTTTAGTATTACCTACAAATTATTTTTTTACTTAAAAAATTATGAAGACATTAATATTAAAATTAAATAAAAGTATCTTTACAAACATTATGTTGACAAACTTAGGTAAAAGAATTTGGTGTTGACTTTATAAAGGATCGTTAACTAAAGTTAACATTTATTACATCTGCTCTATTTCAGGTCGTTTTGTTGACGCTTTCTGAGTGGACCGTTTCATTTACAATTACGCATTAAACGTGGATAAAAAAGCCCAGACAAACTAGTAACTAACAAAATCTTAGGCTTGTCTTTAGTTAAAATTTTAATTAAGCTTTTTTTTTAAATTTATTATTTTTTTTTTTTTAATGTAATTTTACCATTTGAAGATTTAAAATAAATACTATACAAAAGAATGTCTTGTTAAATTTTATCTGACTATTTAACTTGACAGTAGACACGTTTAAGAAACTGGCCGTCTCTAATGAAAAAGTGAAATGGCATGTGCCAAGGTAAAGAAAACTTTTAATACACATTTACACCTGTGAGCTTGAGCGAAAGGAATAGATAATTGCTAACGTCTGGTATCATATTATGTTATCAAGTAATGAGTTTGTTTATTAAGCATCATTAGACTGGACTCCTATTAAAATACAAAACACGAACTAGATTAATTTGGTTTTGTCTTCTTCAAGCTTAAGAACGTGTCGACAAAACGCCTTCGGCAGCTAGCTAAACAATTCAAATATAGGAACACAAAAAGTAGTACAAAGAATATACTTTATGCTGTGTTGATTACGAGAGAAAAAAACATTACAGAGAAATGTCAATGAACGGAGAGTGAGTACGGAATCTTTACGAGGAAACAAAAAGAGAAATACAGTTAAGTAAACGATGGATGGGTGTGAAAAAGAATTCGAAATGAGTAAGTGATAACAGGTCGAGAACCGCTGAAATAAAGGAACATATAATAAAACCTTGCTGTTTCAGGATTGTAATAATGTCTATTAATTTATACCTTAGCCTCTCCTAGGGGACTTTCTAAAGATAAAAAGAACACTTAAATTTGATTATCACTTTTTTTTTTAACCAAGTAAAATAATAAATGAGAGCTTAGTAAGTATTAAAATACTTTGTTATCTTTGACATCGTAGTGATACTGAGACTTTGTTATCTTTGACATCGTAGTGATACTGAGACTTTGTTATCTTTGACATCGTAGTGATACTGAGACTTTGTTATCTTTGACATCGTAGTGATACTGAGACTTTGTTATCTTTGACATCGTAGGGATACTGAGACTTTGTTATCTTTGACATCGTAGTGATACTGAGACTTTGTTATCTTTGACATCGTAGTGATACTGAGACTTTGTTATCTTTGACATCGTAGGGATACTGAGACTTTGTTATCTTTGACATCGTAGTGATACTGAGACTTTGTTATCTTTGACATCATAGTGATACTGAGACTTTGTTATCTTTGACATCGTAGTGACACTGACTGAGACTTTGGGATCTTTTTTATCATATTGATGCAAAAAGTTATTCGTGTCTTACTATTAACTATTGATGGACAACTGTGATTCAGGACAAGTATTACACGTCAATCATTGCAAGTAACGTAATCATAATCAACACATGTATGGTGCATTACAAAGCTCATCAGTAAGTTTCGCCCTGAACTTTGACTTGTTTAAGTTCCTAGTGAGAAGCGCTTTTCAAACAGATACATACTCCAAAAAAGTCATATGATCCGCTTGAACAACCTGAATATCTCAGAAAGGTGGAGGGCAATTCTCTCATAAATTGTTCAAACTTGTCTGTTTTTTTGTTCCCCTCACTGAACTTAGCCTTGAGTTCAGATTTGCTCTGATTTTTAATCAGTTCCATTTGAAGCGTCAAAGAAAAGAGGGGGGGGGGAATTTTCCTCATAGAAGGAAAATTGTCAGCAAAAACTTGAAAAGTGTCTATGTGTGTTTTGAAGTCTGTAAACCAGAGATGAAACTTTCCTGTAGCTTTTCAATGCCATCAGTATACTTACAACTGAATAGTCTCCGCGAGTCCTTGAGCACTTTGCATGTTGTAATTTTGCAGAGGTTTCTCTCAGAAAGCTTGGCTTAACATAGCATACATTTTGTGCAGAATGTCCTGACAATGTTAAAGGCAACACTGACAAGCTGCCCTGACCTTGTAACGTCTTGGTAAGTACACTGAGCTCCTGTGAAATGTCAACAAGAAAAGCCAAGTCCATAAGCCATTTGCGATCATTTAGTACAGGAACAATCACCCAATTTTTTTCCATGAAGGCTTTGATTTCTTCTCTCAACTCAAAAATTATTTTCAAGACGTTTGCCCTACTTAGCCATCGCACCATTTGTGTAGTAGATAACATCTTAAATGCTGAATGTATTCCCTCTAAAAATGCATGGAACTTGACGATGCTTCAAGCCCCTGGAGCTGATATTTTTTATGCATTTCACAACGTCAGACTTGTTTCAGGCACTTACTGCAAAGGGCCTGCTGATGAATAATGCACTATAGCAATGGCCTCTTCCACATTCTCGTCTTCCAGTTTTTTTTTAACATGTGCCACGAGTCCATTGTTTCCCCTGTCATTGATGAAGCTCTGTAGATTATTTTCCTGCATAAATTTTCCACTGTAAACCAGCATCCGCAATGATATCACACAGATGGCGGAATATATCCCGAGCAGTGGTCTGACCACGCATTGCAATCTCTCTGAGCAACTCCTCTATCACTTCTAAATTAGCATCAACACTATGAAATATGTTGCAAGTTGGGAATTTCAGAAACACCTTAGCTCTTATCAAGAGCGACTGAGTATGCATGGATATTTTACCTTTCTCGCACAGCTGATCATAAATGTCACCTGTTAGCTCAGATTGGCGCTTTGTCATTGTTGGCAGAAGGGCTGATGTTTGTAAAACGACACTTAGTTTCCGGACACACTAAACTTGCACTATGTAACATGCAATTTTTTGTGAACTCGCCTTCTTTGAATGACTTTCCTGCCTTACCAATCATCTCCTTCACCACGTAACTAGCTTCAAATGTTGCATCATCACATTCTTTGTTCGCTTACTTGAAAAAATCAAGCTAACTCAGTACACATCTTTTAAGTTTAGCAACATGTGCGTCTCTCTCATCTCCCTGGTATTTGAAATACTCCTCAGCATGTCTGGTTAAATAATGACGTCTGATATTGTACACCTTGTGCATCGCAACTTACTGTACTTAAGTGTCTGCACTTATCGCCAACCTTTCTCTTCACAGCAGGTTTTGAGAAAGACATGACTGGGGTCTGGTGACAAAAATGTTTGAAATTTTTGATAAAATATATTTTCCCTCCACTCGGTAACACTCCCAAATCATGTTTTACGAGACAAAGCTTACAGGCTCGGAATTTTGGTCACTCGTAAATGGAACACACTACCGGCAATTTTAATAGGGATTGTTTGATACAGAGTAACATCGCTAAGATTTACACAGTTCGAAGTCCGTTTTCTCGAACCGCACTTTGGCCATATTTGTCTCATAAAATGTATCAAATAAACTCTAAGTCCGATTTTAAAGTTTTTTAACATGATAATTAAAGTCAAAACCTCTTGGTATTCATATAAACATCAGAATTAGACTTGTCGGTGAGATTTGACTGAAATCGTCACAGAGGATCACATTACAGAAATGAGAATGTGGGCAAAGCACAGGCCGCATTAATGCTAGACTTTGTTTTCGGCTATCGGGCCATAAAATATCGTCTTGCGGGCCAAAAGTTTGAGACCCCTTCCTTAAACAAACTCATTAGAAAAAAAGTGTTTAGAAGAAACTAGATAAATAATCAAATAGAAAAGATAAAACAATTGAAATTAATTCGCTTGCATTAGAAAAAAAATAGAGTTATATCAGTTCTCTTTGTGTAAATAAGGTAGATAAGACGAATCTCAAAAGAACCATAGAATTATAATATATATAAGGCATCCTTCCGTCTTCGCGAGACGATGTAGTAGCTCTATAGTCCTACACTTCGAAGAGTGGCTCACAAGGCTAATCCTAGAATGACAATCTCGACTGCATTTCTCGCAGGAGAATATTGATTCCTGGTAAGATCTTGACTTACATATTGTTCTTTGTGTTGCAAGGGCTTTGTTTCGCGTATCTTCGGCTTTTTTTACTCCATCCCACTCTACTGTTCACCAGCTGGAACATTGTTCGGCAATAAGCTCCCATTCGTTTTTTTTCAATTTTAACTTCCTTCATGCTTCTTTTGCAAACGTCAATAAATCTTAGGTGTGGCCGTCCAATAAGCCTTGTCCCTTCTGCCAACTCTCCTAAAGCAGCATCTTTGGGATACGGCCTTCCTCCATTCTCCATTGGTGATAAAACAGCGAAAAATTTGAATCAAAACTATCAACATGGGACATTAATGCAAAAAGGGCGTTCTGTTTATTAATAATTTTCGAAAAATATTTTTCGGAAACAAATATGTTGTTTAAATACTACTAAATATTGAAATATAGAATCTCATATTTGATCGGGCGGGAAGACATTTTATTTTGCGGTCTTTTGCAATTATTAATGTAACTTTTGCGTACTCCCAAACAATAGGAAACATGTCCCCCCCCCCCCAGGGTTTACGGAACGCTGCGATAGACCACATCATGGCGTCCCCAAGCTTTCAATAAGTTATGATGGGCGGGAAGACATTTTATTTTGCGGTCTTTTGCAATTATTTATGTAACTTTTGCGTACTCCCAAACAAAAGGAAACATGTCCCCCCCCCCCCCCAGGGTTTACGGAACGCTGCGATAGACCACATCATGGCGTCCCCAAGCTTTCAATAAGTTATGATCTAAATTTATACATTGTCTTTAGATATCGTTGACACATAATTTTTAAATTAAGTTTTGTGTTTCGACATTAAACATGGCATACAATTTTTTTGGATGTAGTTTAGAAACTGGCCATGAGCAGGAACAAGCAATCAACACCAACACCATTAGTATTTGTGACAGGAAAAGAACACTTAAACATAATGCCAAAAGAAAAACTTAAACATAAAGCCAAAAGAAAAACTTAAACATAAAGCCAAAAGAAAAACTTAAACATAAAGCTAAAAGAAAAACTTAAACATAAAGCCAAAAGAAAAAGCTTAAACATAAAGCTAAAAGAAAAATTTAAACATGAAGCTAAAAGAAACATACAGCCAAAAGAAAAACTTAAACATAAAACCAAAAGAAAAACTTAAACATAAAGCCAAAAGAAAAACTTAAACATAAAACCAAAAGAAAAACTGAAACATAAAACCAAAAGAAAAAGATAATAAAAAAAAAATAAATAAAATATTTTATAATACTTTCTTTTTAAATAATAAAATAT